TGACCGACTTGATAGTGTTCTTCTGACAAGTGACACACTTGGCGATGTCACAACAAATTAATCGTGGAGGTGTCCACGCATACAACTCCTGCGTGAGATTCATCGACTTAGAGTCGAATTCATTTTTGTGTGGCAGATTATTTATCAACTCGTGAGGACATGTTTGGTTGTTGATATGAGAGGATGAATTATTGTTGCATTATTTTGAATTAAAATGTATGAGAAGGATGCAAGCAAGTCATTCTTCAAAGCGAACATATCATACAAACACATAACAGCAACACAGATTCATCGCCTCGAACACCTCATTGATTGATCACTGGCTTGGAGCAAAACACTCAATCGTCGCGGACCCCACATTGGAAGCCATCATGGACACCACCACGCAAAACATCAATAAAATGTTGAATAAAGCACTCCTTCAAGTGGTGGTGATCCTCCATTTGTGCACTTTTGAGACCCCTGTTGAGTGAGAGATGCACCAGAGGCCCCTCATTGGACCTCATGGACACCACCACGATAAAATTGTTGTGAGTCCGTGACTGACTTGGACATACCATGCCAAATGTACAATGATGAGACTTTGTCGAAGAGTCTGTTGATTCCTATATGTTCGAGACCATGTGTATCCTTGAGCACTCTTGCGATGTGTTCAGGGTCGATGATGACCATCCTGACCTTCTCACCATCAACGAAGAAGTAGAGGCCGTCGTGGCAGACGACGTCACCTCTGGTCTTGAGCTTGTCAAACCACTTCTTGACGTGTTTGGGCACGTTCTTGAGATCGGCGCACGACTGTTTGACGGTGACAATAAAGTCGTCGTCCCAAGGGTTCCAGAACCTTGGCGTGCGTGAGAGGTAGTCGCTCATGCAGTTGGACTTTCCTTCGATGTATTGAGTGGCGAAAGAGAAGTTGGAGATGATCTCGTACCAACGTTGGACACGGGCCGGACGCGACTCCAGGTTGGCCTCGTACAACAGGTTCTTGTGGTCGGTGTACCAGATGAATGGCTTGTCCCTCAGCAAGTGTTGATACTTCTTTAGGCAGTTGATCAAACCAAGTAGTTCACGATCACGTGTGTCGTAGGCTCTCTGGGCCGGGTTGAACTTCTTGCTGTCGAACAGCACCGGTCTGAGATTCGCGTTGGCGTCCTCTTGAGCGATCAGTAAACCTGTACCAAAGTCGCTCGCGTCCGTGTATACCCTCAGAGGGACCTCCTTGCGCGGCACAATCAGACATGTGTCGCTGCACAACGCAGTGCGGATGGTTTGGAAGTCTTTCCGATGCTCCTCGGACAGCTTGAGTCTGGTGAACTTGTTGGAGACTAGACTCGTGAGACGCGCRAACGCATCCTTGCATCCATCGAGGAACTTGGCGTAGTGTTGACATGCGCCAAGGAATGCTCTGAGTTCTCTGACTGTGGACGGGATGGGCATCTCCATGATAGCCTGGACGTTGCTGTGCAACTTCTTGATGCCCTCGCCAGAGAGTATGTGACCGCCATAGACGACGGATGTCTTRCACAACTGTGGTTTCTTGTCGTTCAGGTAGACACCGTGCTTGCGTAACAGGTCGAATGTCATCTTGAGATGCTTGTGGTGGTCGTTGAGGTCCTTGGAATGGACGATCACATCGTCGACATAGAGTTCGAGTATGCCTGCTTTGATAAGCGGCGCGAAGACGTGATTGATCCACCTGTTGAAGAAGGCTGGACTGTTGCGCAGACCGAAAGCGCATCTCTTGAACACGTACAACTCATTGCCAATCTTGAACTGAGTGTACTGGCGTGACTCCTTGGAGAGTAGCACATGATGGAAACCACTCTTGAGATCGATAACACTGAATATCTTTGATCGACCAACCTTGGCGAGCACTTCGTCGACAGTCTTCATGGGGACGGGATACTCGCGCGTGCACTTGTTCAACGCGGAGAAGTCGACGACAAGACGTTTCTTGCCCTGCTCCGACAAAGAAAGCAGGG